TTTTATGACTTCTGGATTTTTGAAACGGCAAGCCTCTACAATCATCTAGTAGGTTTTCAACTGCTGAGGAAAGAAGAGCGCGTGATTTCTTGCACTTACGATCGATACACATCTAATCTGTGCGAAGTTACAACCGTTGCTGTCGGACGACCGAACATGCAATAATGTGTCACTTCGGTAACTGCGAAGCTAAATTTCAAAGTGTTTTCCTCTTGATGTGATATATGCCGTAACGAGTCGATTGATTTCTCAATCGGTTTCCTGTTACCGACTGGTGTGGCGATAATGTTTACATATTCGAGAAAAACAAAATGCTGTTTTCGCTCCTCGTATTACCTGCATGCTATACCTTGAACCTTACTTTCAGGGCGTTCCCTGCAGATTCTTCGCAGTAGTTTTCGATGCGGGATCAACGGGTACAAGACTGCACCTATACAAATACGTTCATATTACGGACCGTAATAATGGAATACCGTTCAAAGTTGAAAAAGAGATTTTCCGAGAGGTAAGAATGTGCAGCTTTCATTGAGCCTTGAGATGGTGTTGATTGACTTGATATTTCAAATGGTATGGACAGAGGGAATTGAATGAAATATTACTTTTGATTTTTCGTCTCAAACATGGCATTTATTATACATTGAAAGTAGGCTCAGTGTGGGTAGGAGTCTGAAAGAAGTATTGTTGCTTAGTGCTTATGGACAATCTTTACGCTTTGTACTTTTGTGTGTGTCCTGATCGAGTGTTTCAAATCTAACGGCGGAGTGGTTCACATTTTGTGATGAATTTTTTGATAGTTGTGTGATGGTCTCCTTTTAATTGGAAATCCTCCCTACTTCAATGCCATGGAAGTAAACATTTCACGTTTCACGGATGGGCAAAACTCTGAATGGATGTGAGGAACCATTAGCGTAGTTCTTATAAGGAGGAGCTAGACTTTTTCAAATTTTATACCAAATTTGTCATTGAACGAAACGGGTGCTTAATCGAGTCACCATTGAAATTTTCGAAAGCAGACTTCTGTGCGAAGGAGACTGTATGAGCACGATGCATTAACTTGGAGGTACTCCCTGACCATTAAACGTCGATTTTTAGTGAGGGAATTTTTTCCACGTGCCTTTCCCAGCCTCGCTGTTCCGTTCCCCCCCCCCGCCCCCATTGATTTTTTCAAGCCATTTTCCTGAAACGCGACTTTGCAATCTTCAAACGTCCATAATTTCCTTCAAAATTCATATAATGAGAAGCGGTAAAAAGCATTGAAGTCTACATGAAGAGTGCTTCACAACGTATGCAAATTCATCCTGCAAAGCTCTTCACGGTCGGAATTTCCGAGGAGGTCTGCTTACGGCCGCTAACAGATAAGGCGTTTTGAAGCAAAAACTTTTGCTCGGGGTACGCCGTGCACCTGTTTGTGGTAAGCAGTCGCACTAGCATTGAAAGTCCTCCACTCCCCTGGAGACGGTGATAGTATCGCGATTGTAGTTGCGTTGTACTGTTACATGGAATCCTATTTTCTCAATGCATTTCACCGCGGGTCCCTGTGCATATACGACCACCTCTGTGGCAAGTGGCTGTGAGAGAATACACTTTATTCTCTTCTTCCAGATGTATTATCGAGCGCGTGCTTTAAGACATTGGGACCTGGTGAAGATCTCTACAATGTTGTTGGGATCATGCTCAGAAATTCACGGAAGTGCGCTTCTGATTTCATATGTGCGCTGCTACAAAACAGCTATGAAAGGTGTGTTCCGTAAACTCACTTCAGTTTGCTTTGTGGTATTTTGAATTTCTTGCTGTGAATACTGAATAAATTTTGCAATTCTTTGCGTTCAAAAACCATGAATTCTGTGTTAGCTTATGCTATCATGTGCGGAGAGATTCTGGGGCCTCAGTGTTGCTTTTGCCAGAGAAAGTTCTGTGGCACAAAAGACTCCAGCACCCCAATTTTTGATATAAAACCTGGCAAACTTTCTTGCTCAAAGTCATGGGTTGTTTCCGGTTTCTTCGGAGTACTCGAATTTGCGTGCCCTTATTGTAGCTTCAGTAAGCTCACTCTCGCATAGTTTGGTATAGACATTGTTTTGCGAAGCGTTTGCAAAGGTTTTTTTTTCAAGAAACATGAAACATAAGACATGGGAAGAAGCAGAGCGGTGAGCAGGATTCTGACACCCGCATACCTAGTTTGCGGGTGTCACAATCTTGCTTGCTGCTCTGCAAAAGAGCGGTTAGCAGGATTATAGAAGCGGTTAGTGGCAGTTTGTGTCGCAGAATGGTTAAATAGAAAAATGACGGAGGTAGATGCGGATAGTTTCAGTTGTGCACGATGAGTGTTGTCTTTTGCAAGCTTCTGGTTACAATGGGACACGGTATAGGTGAATGAAGGTACGGCTCTAGCCAGACCAGAGTGCGTGAAAAGTATCGTTGTTGTGGTTATCTCTTTGTAGGATTCTAGTTTTCAGTTTTCACCTGTTCTAGGAATTGTGCGCAAAATTCTGGAATGCATGATTGTTCGTGAAGTCAGGAAGTGATTAATATGGTGCTTTTTTGCTTGGCATATCACCACATCTGCTTTAGTTGGGAAGAAATGTAGTACAATAAAGCATAGTTCACTTGTCTTCCCTGCTTACAACACACATTCTGTTAGTAGCATGTTCACATTCGCATACGGTGTGGTGTTGTTCTTTTGTCTCCTTCTCAATCATTTCTTGTTCTGTGGAGAGGGCGGA